ATGAGAAAGAGAAGTGCAAGTCTGAGTCCTGAGAGTATTCCTGATGGCACAGGATCATATCTCACAGTCTTCTTGGCTCTGATGAGCACATGAGATAGAAGATATAAATAGAGAAAAAACATCTTTTCTCTGAGGAAGTTCCTAAGTGTGGCCTTTGACTTCAAAGGAAGGTTTGTAAGAAACAGCTGATGTTGAGAGGAGATGGAGAGCTTTGAAAAGTTTTGATGTGTTTTGGGTTAAACCTTTCTTGCTTCTTCCCACTGAGGCCATGTAGAGGCCCTTCTCCACATTTGTCTCTCTGTGTCATTCCCTGTCTTGGAGCCTCAAAGGCTTAGAGATGATCAAAGAGCCTGTAGTGAAAACAGGTCGATTTTCCACAACTTTTGAATCAGGACTGAGTTCTTCTACTAAAACATAAAAATTCACAGAGGACCATTTCTCTCCAAGAAGGAAGACAGACTCTTTTTTTTTTTTTTTTTTTTGCAATGTGTGGACTTTGCAGCTGACTCCAACAGGTGACATTTTCCAGCTCCAAAGGTCTTCAATAAAATCCAAATTCGGTGTGTTGAGATCGAGGTCTCTCCTCCCAGACTGTAATTTTTAGATACAAGGCTGCCTAATTGCACTGTGGGAATCCTTTTAAAAAAGCACCTCCTGACAGGGATGCTCTTTAAAATAGGCCATTAGTCTTGTGACAGTGCATCAGGGAATTAATGAGTTCGTTAGTGAGGCAAACCTCACATTGCCTTGCTCAGGCCCTTTCCCTGTGAAACAGAAATTGGTCTAAGGGAACCAGAAAGGAGACACCATGGAATGCATAAACAGGGACACTGGATGGGGCAGCAGAGCATCAGGAGGGTGTTCAGCCAGTCAGTGTCTTTCTTCACTCAGTGGCCGTCACAAAGACAGGTCTGAACCTACAGAGAGGTTCATTTAGGGACAGATCCAGGTGTCTATGCTTTTAATGCTGCTATGGATTCCCCAAATTATCTGGGATGTCCACACTGGGCTTTTGGAGACCCAGCACTTCCAGAAGTTCAGGGAGAGATGCTCGATTATCTGAAGTGGTACCGAACACCTGAGCTTAGGGACCTGAATTGATCCTAGAAATTGCATTTGGAGACATATAAAATCTCCAAGGACAATGCAGCCCATCCAAAAATATCTGTAGAAAGTGTAAGTGTGAGGGGTTTGGAGGAGATTCCATACCTTGTACTTGAATTTGCCTTATATTGCAATTTTATGAGTCAGTCCTCACTTGGGGTTGGCCCAGGCTCTGATCCTGCTGCTGAACTAGTGCACGTGACACAAAACAGGGACCATAAGAGTGTTGTACAAAGATCAAAACTGGGGCATATTTGAAATCATCATAAGGGAAAATAGGGAGAAACAAAGAAACATCACATTCACTTGTAATTGTGTAATGTAAAAATAAATATTCCAGTATTCAGGGCATGTTTTCACCCTGATATACCGTGATTCAAACTTGCTACAAGACCTCAGGCTTCAATGTTTTGTTATGTTTTCCTGTCAAATTTTCTTGCTGATGGCTACAAACACCTAGAAACCCCAGCAGCATCAGCAAAGCACTGTGGTGTCCTCATGCTCAAGAGAGTGTGAGAGAAGCTGGCTGGAGATTGTGTTGACTGGACCACAACAGCTCCATTTAACTTCAAAACATGGTCAAGTGCTGTGTCAGCTGCCCTGCACACTGAGAGCTGCATGGAAGCAATATCTCTGTGATCTGGGTGTTTTACTCAGGATAATTGGTCCATGGAAAATGTTTCTGCCCTGCCCAGTTTCACAGGTCTGCTGTTCCATGCCCTGCCATGCAGAGGTGTGATAAAAGGCCTTAAAGAAAGAGAGGTTTTTGACTTATCTCATTGAAATGCCTTGATCTGTTGGCTCTGTTTAAATTCCAGATTTTATTGGATTCACCTTGTAGAGATTTCATTAGATCTACACAAGGAATGGGACACTGAAAAATGCAAAGAGAGGCAGGAGGAGGAGGAGGAGGATCACCTCTGCAGTTGCATTTGACCTGAAGGACTGAGCTTGGTGACTCAGGTTTTGGATATTATGAAGTTCTCACACAGGACAGGGTTTTTGCCTCTTTTTTGCAGTGTACACGGTGAGGATATATATTTATTTTAGATAAAGACTTAGCCAGAAGGAAGACAACATGTGGTGTAAGGTAAATTATGCAGATAATGTTCTATTATGTGCACAGAGTAAAAAGTACAAGGGACATGAATTTCCCCAGGGAAACACCTCTGAAAGGGAGGCTGGGACAATACACAAAAGAAAATAAAGAGGAGAAGGAAGAAGGAAAAATAAATTGGAAATAGTCAGTTCTGGCAAATTTTGCTTGAAGGAGACAGAACACTGGATGTGCAAAAGATTGTACTGGAGGCAATTCCTTCCAAAGAAAGGACTTTGTGCTGCCTGTCACTTATCCAGGTCACTAATCCAGCTCCTGAGCACGGGATTTTGACCCTGCAGGTATGTATGAAGCTTGGAATGAGCCATTGGAAAGTGTGAAAAGAATCTATTTGTCAAACAATTTGAAGCATCTCTTCCCTCCAGACTTTGCTTTTGTTCCAAGGTGGGGAATGCAGTGATTATTTTGTAGTTCTGGTCTGTTCTGTACGGTCTGCTGAGGTCTGGCTGGAGCAATTCCTCTGGATTGTGTGGCAATGGAAGATCAGATACAGCAGAGAAAGCAGCCCCTGGGCTGAGACAGGCACAAAGCACTGCTGAAGGTGGAGTAATAATTGTATCTGAGCAGCAGAACACAGGGAGAGTCTCAGTGGGCAGTAACACTTCATTTCACCAGCAACAGCAAGAAGAGGCTTCTCTCTGTCTCTGTTGTTTCACTCCCAGAGCTGTGCCTGCCAGCAGCAGGTCTCAAAGCTGGTGTTTTGGATCAGCCCTGCTCCTGCCTGCAGTCCTGAGAGGTGTGTGTGTGCTCTCCTGCACAGTGGAACGGGCTGGACTGTGCTCAAGGGAAAAAAATGAGAGAATAAAATAGGTTGGGGGCTTTCCAATCCTTGTGATAGGTCCATAAGGTGTGAATCTCCTCCAGATTTTGCTCACTGTGTTCAGCCTCAAACTCTCTGACCTGGCTTTTGAGATTTTGGGATAAAGGATTCCTCAGGATATGCTGCAGCCATTGACAGAAATATAATTGTCTCTTCCCATGTGACTGCCAGCACAGGCTTCACTGCAAATACAAGAATGGCAAAACAAATCTGAGAGCTGGAACCCTGTGGCTCTGCCTTCACATGAGTGTTTGGGGTGACCCCTGTGCTGTGTACTGACCTCCTGCAAGCAGCTGCTGGAAGAATCACAACCATTCCCTGAGCTCACAGGTACAGTCCCACAGTAAGAAAACAACCTTATCAGTCTTTTGCATTTGTGTTGACACCTGCAGGTTCAGAGACTCTTTTTGTTAGTTTTCTCTGTTCTCCTCCGTGTATAATTGGCCAGATTACATTTACTTTTTCTCTCTCTTGCACTAATCACAGCTGCAGACTGGAGTAATTTGCTGATGCTGTACAAGGAATTGTCTCTCCTGCAGACCTGGCTGGTGTGATCAGAACTCACACATGGTATCAGAACAAAGAGCCCTTCAGGCAAGTGGTTCTGTTTATTTTGGCTCAGGCCAGGTTGCTCCTTTCTCCCTGTGTCTTCTCCCTGTGTGCTGTGCACATCTTTTTTCCTCTGCCTTTGGAGCTGCTGGCTCCTTGCTCTCAGATCTGGGGTGGCCTGGCTTGTGCAGCATCAGCAGATTTGAGGGATGTGGAGAAAAGCGTCCAACATACTGTAATAAGTGCATAACATATTGTCAGCTTTTCACAACTATTAGAATAAATACCATATGTATAATATTAAAATAGCTTTTCTGTATAAATATAGCTTTTTCTTTTCTTCTAATAGCAAAAATTAAACATAAGTTTTTAAAAATAGTATGCTTAAACTACACACTTAGCTGAAATAACAGCCCATAAACATATAATAAAAACCCTGCAACTAACACAACAATTATCAACACTCACCAATTACAAAAAGCCAAAACCACCACCCAAATTAAAAAATAATAATAAAAAAATTAAAACCACAAACCAAAAAGCACACATGTTCTAAAAAAAGTAGCCATGTTACATAGTGCCCAAAAATTTTTAACTATACAAAAAAAAAAAAGCAACAAATTAATGTATTGTAAAGTGTATTTAAAAGGGTGTTCCCAAAGCAAACGTGTGCTCTTGGCAGCTTACCAAGCACCCACTGTTGTTTTAACCCTTTGCTTTATGTGTGTCTCCTATTATCCTTTTATTAAATCTTTTAAATTTTACCAAAACAGTAAAACGTGTTTTTCACAATACTCTCGTAGTTAATATGCTGTGATGCCTTGCTTCCCTTTTCTCCTACTTCATTTTCACAGCTTGGAGGCCAAGCAAAGAAACAAGTCCAAGGCTTCCTCTCTGCTCCCCCTCCTTTTCTGGTTACAAGTTGTGAGTGGTTTCATGTGGACTCTTGTTTTTCATAGACACTGTTGGTTCCACCATCTACAAATGAATCTAATCCTAATAGCAGTTATTGGCCTTGACTTATTCCCTATTTCCTTTGTAACAGTTGCTGACAAAGCTGCTGCTCTCCTGATGAATTTTGTTGCTCTAATTTTTGATAGCACACTTACAGCTAAGGCCAGCAGCTGTTAAAACAGTTCCATCTCTGCATTTAATACTTCTCTTCCTCCAGCTCTCATTTCAGTTAAGTATTAAACATCACTCACAACGCTGCAAAAAATCAGTTGCAGTTTGCAGCATTAGGAGGAAGAAAAATCACAGGAGATAATGGATGAAAAGGTAAGTACTGAACATCAGCATCTTTGGTGGTTGTGTACTGATAAAGGATAAAATAACTGCTGTTTCCTATCCTCCTCCCGAGGCTTTCTTTTCTCGACAAAGGGACAGGTATATAATGGTTAATGTCTCTCCAGCATCGGTAGATGTGGGCTCACAGATTTCTTGTATTTGTGCTGTTATTTACAAATAAAAGGTTTCCAGGTTTTATTCTTGGCCCTTGCTGTATTGTGTGTAAATGTATCTTCTCCTGTCATTTAGCAGTGCTTTAGAAAACAGCTGGTGCCCCCAGGGTAAACCTTTAAACAATGTCCTACTCTGACAAAATTCTGCTTCATCAGCAAACCATGTCGTGCATATTTCTCTCATTGTTTTGCAAATTGCTGTTACAAAGAGCTTTTGCATTTAAACAGGCTCTCTCTGACCTAAGAGATAGTAAAAATTACATTAGAGATGCCACAGTAACTTGTCACTGTGACCTGCCCTAAATAGCTGGACTTATTTCACTTGGATAAATCATTTATTTATAATGACCTATTATGTCATCAGAATTCTGCAGCAGAGATGCTTCAGCTCCAACTTACATGAATATTCTTTTGAAGGGCTAATCAGAGGAGATATACCATCAGGATTATGTGCTTTAAAAATACAGTTCTAGACAGCACTGGCCAAACTGGGAAGCAATGATTAATCCGTTCTGATTACTGTGATCATATAGATCCTCTCTGCTCACCCGTTCTCCATGATCTCAGTTAGAAACAGCTCTAATTTTCAGCTCCTTTTTTCCCTAGAGCTGCATTTCCATGACCAAATTTGCAATTAGAGCCCAGTGCTTCCAGACTTCCTTTGATAACTTGAGACAACAGCATGGCGCAAAATTTTCTCTCTCCCTCTCCCTTTTAACAGACTTTAGTGGCTCTTTGTCTGTTAGGAGCATCTCTGTCTGCTTTGGATATGTAATGGAGCTTCCTGAACCTCAGATCTCCCTTTGTGCAATTCTGCTAATGAAAAGCCAGCCACAGAAGATACTTTGTCCTTGTAAATCCATGGCACAGGGAGGATATTCCTGTATTGCTTCCTGCCTGCTGTCACTGAGGCCACTGTTCTGGCACAGAGCAAGCCATGAACAGCTGCAGAAATCCAGGGATGGCCCTGCTCTTGCTTCCTGGAGGGATGAATGTGGCAGTAAGTGTCAGGAAAAGGAAATTGCCAGTCGTGTTCTTGTCCTGGCCACGTGCTTGTGGGAAAGGGTTGGCAGGTGGCTCCTGTTCCTTCCATGGAGGATGGGAGTAGCTTTTTTCATTTTACCTGCTAAATGTCTGCCTAAACAAAACTGCCACAAAATATTTTCACACATGATTATTGACCTCAGCCCCAGCTCAGGTCTGGTCTTTATGTCACACCACTCCTTCTGCTACTTTTGAAGATTTTCTCCAGAAACTGAATTGAGAAATCATTTCTGCTCCTCTTGTGAGGAAGCAAAGACAGTGCCCCACAAACCAGGACACTGGGGAATGACCATCCCCCCTGGCCCTGACCATCCCTGTGTGCATTGTGCACCTAAACTCTTCTGAAAATGTTCATATAATGTAGAGAAACCGTGAATGCAAGGGAATATTCGTGACCTGAGAGGTGGTGTGTAAATGTGTGAATATTTAATTGTGTGGGGCACTGACTTTGGTACATTTCTTTGGGCAAAATGGTCTTCAAAAAGCAGTGAAAAGCCAGCAGTCATTGCAGGCATGGTAGAGAGGATGAAGGTGATTGTCCATCACCAGCTGCTCTGAGTGGGAAGCTGGGCCAGGAGGGACAGCACTTGCAAGGTGGGTCCCTGCAAAGATTTCTTTTAAAAGCTCTGTCTTCACACCTTTACAGCCAAAGTAAAGTGGAGAAATAAATCACTGTGCACAGTTGTCATTTTTCCCCTCTGAGCACCAGCCAAAGTGTTTAAATATAGCTAAACCACTGCATTTCCTCAGAATAAACACTTAGATACTCAAAAATAAATTGCTAGGTCCTGGTATCAAAGGAATGATTTATAACCCAATTATACTGGGAATTTTATTCTCTATTGTTTCACTGATAGGTTATGGGTCAATTAGGTGTTTTACTCCTGGAGAAACACATCTTCATTGCACTATGAAGTGTCTGAATTTGGCACACTGAGATTTGCTCTGTCCATCTTGTAAACCTCATCCAGTTTGTGGAAAAACTTTGAGAATCATTGTGCCAAGGGCCATATCTCTAATTTCTCTAGCATTTTGTCTCTGTTTACTGCCCAGGCATTGGCAGAAATGTAGAGAGCTCTTTTCTGGTGAATAATCTTCCCCATCTTCTGTTTTCTCGTCAGACTCGCAGTGTACAGAAGATGTTCATGGTGCAGCTGAGTCTGTAAGTCTCTGGGGAATGGGGATTTTTGAGCCTTCAGAGGAGGCTGACAGCATCAGTAATGGTCTTCAGCAGGGGCCAGCGGACACCTGGTGAAGAATAAGAATAGAAGAAACTTGTTTAATCTTCCTCCATAACATTTTTACTCTCCAAGTGCAGTCAGCTCAAGATTTCCTAAGATTAATGTGATTCTCAGTAAGGTGCCCTGGGTTCCTCTTGTAGCTGCTTGTCCATTCTGCCCTTGAACATCGACAATTGTAGAACCACTGAAAAGGCACATTGCTTTTAGAACAAAACCTATTATCCTCTACAATGGTACAAACCCACACTTACTCTAAAGACTTTAGTTGAGTAATTTTTATCAGCGAAATCTGAAAAAGGGAGGGGATTTGACCAAGTTAATGAATGTAAAAGAGGAGGTTCAGGGGGAAAATGTTTTATGATTATGCCTCTTAAATCTTGCATTATTTTAGCAATGCAAATTCAATGGTGCATTTTAATTCCCTTTTAATATGGACTTTTCCAGGTCTGCATGTTATCAATGTCAGTGTAAATCAGAAAGGGAATCCAGCCCAAGGGTTTTGTACATCCTCTGTTTGCTCCTCCTCCTTTCTCTTTTTACAAATTACAGTGACAGTGCAACAATCCTGAATAACATTATACTTTTCTATTCCTAGAAACTACAGTCATGTTCTCTAGACACAGGGATATCGAAAATAAAAGAGCAATAAAATCCAACCCCAGTCACATTTCCACAGTGGCACCCCAGGCAGATGATGGTTTTGGTATTCTCATGCCCACGCTTTTCATTTCCTGGACGTGGCTCTTGGCATCCTGGAGTTGTTTGCAGTAAATGGTGTTCACTGAGCAAGCCTGTCCCTCAAAATGCCTGACTCTCCTGGTTGCTCCTCTCCCCACATCTCGATTATCTAACACATTAATACAACAAGCACTGCAATAATTAGGGCACCATATGGCACGCACAGTTACAGAGCAATTCTAGCATTGGTGGATTGGGTGAGTAGTCAGAAAGAATAAAATAAGCAAGGCTGCTGGTGTGAGCAGAAGATGACTAAATCAGTGTACACACATGGCAGAGAAGACTGAGTAAGTTACGTGTGTGTACAAGCTGGACTTGGGGAATTTTTAGTTTTGTTCTCATCCTGATGAAAAGACACCCTGGGTTAGAGGGGTGCACTGAACTGCTGCAGAGAGATAAGTGCCCTTCATGGCACATCTCCCTGAAGATGATCTTTATTATACTTGGCTCCCTCAGGTCGGTGAGCTCTCTAATATTTCTCTGCCTGGGATTGTATTGCCATTTACCAGTTATAATGGGTATTTAGTGTTTTCAATTATTTGCCACTTCACTGAGAGCACAACAGTCATTGGAGCCATTGTGGGATTCTTAGTTAATCCTCTAAATAATAAAAGGAATCAGGGAGCATGTATAAGCTGTGAGATTTTCCTGGCCTGGCTGTCAGCTGGGAATGTGAGCAAATCATGCCCACGAGCCATCATAGTCACGCTAACAAAAGCTTTAGGGCACATGCAAAAATACAGATTGTGGAGTATTCTTGCGTTGTATCTCTGGAGAAATGTTATAGCTGGGCTTGAAGAAGTCTTGTGGTGATGTAAAATGCATGTCCTTTATGGATGGTTGCTCATATGAGCAGAGTGTCAAGAGTTTTGGTGTAGAAAATCCCATTCAGTATTTTCTCCCTGCTAAAACATCTTCTTCCAACAGAAACACTTTGGCTGCTTGGATGAAGACTGTCTTTCAAACTGAATCACTGTTTTCATATTTGCACTAAACATTTCCTAACAATGTGGAATAGACATGATGGATACCACAGAAGGAAGGACACATCCCAGGAAGGTTAGTGGGTGACCTCCCAGGATGTCACCTTCTCCTCAAGAAACCCCAGGACATCCTTTCCTTTGTTTCTACAGAGCAGATGCAAACCAACCAACCCCTTTTTTTCCTGAGGACAAATCACTTCCAAGTACATCTGGATGAGCATGAAGAATGAGAATATGAATACAGACAATTATGATGGAGTAGAGGTCTTGTAAATTTATACCCAAACTTACCCCCTGGTAACTCATTCATCTGTCTGTCTTGACAGAATGCATGAGAAATAGTGGGACAATAAAGGCTTTTGTTATGCTGAAAGATGTTAATAGCCGGCCCCAGGCTGAGCTGGGTTTCCAAGACAATCACAGATAACACAGCAAAACTCAGGAGAATGAACACTGAGGCCTTTATTTTGTAAGTAGAGAGACTGGGGCTATGTCAGAGTAGGGGTTGTCCAACGGTACAGGTTTTACAGGATCTCATTTTTTATGGAAAAGTACTGTCTGGGACAGCAGGGTAGCTGAACTGCTCAATATGGAAACATCCAGAAAAACATCATTATAGACTGCTGTGTCCCATGGGTGAGGGTCTAAGGAGGTGTTGGGGGCACTGGGAATGTCCTTGTGCCCCTCCAGCACAAAAGGAGATGCTCAGCAAAGAAATATGGCAGGAAACGGTCTTGGGATGGTTTGAGATGCTTCAGAAAAATTTCTCATAATACAGTCTTTCAGGAAGGGAGGTAATAATGCAGATCTATCCTCACCACTGGTACACAGTGAAGCTCCTTTTCATCTCCTTTCTGTCTCTTTTTACTGTTGTCTCTCCACAAGCTGCTGTCCCCCAGGGAAGACACCATCATAACCACAGCCAGAGCAAAGGGATGAAGATATTTACTTATAGTTCAAATCTGCACTGGCTTGGTTCTGTCTGAAAATAATGTCCTTTCCAAGGTGAGAATTTTGTGAAAAGACTCAGGAATA